ACCCAGGCACCTCTGCAAGTACACTTTTTAATTTAGAGATTTTTAAGTATCTTGTAGATGAAGTGCATACACTTACCCATTCTTTTTCAGACACTTCATGGCTTAAATTTTAGAGTCAGTTTAGAGTTCCCCATACTGGCGTTTTCTTTCCTTTTTTTTTTAAGTTTATTTGTTTTGAGAGAAAGAAGGGTGCAAGCATGTGAAGGGCAGAGAGAGAGAGAGGGAGAGAGAGAATCCCAAGCATGCTTCGTGCCATCGGCATGAGCTTGAAGTGGGGCTGTACCTCATGAACCCTGAGATCATGACCTGAGCCGAAACCAAAAGATGACACTTAACTGACTGAGCCACCCGAGCACCCATGGAGCTTTATTTTCAAGTTGTGTTGAATATGTATGTGAATTTTTATAACGTTGGCATTATTCCATTGAATCTTACAGTTAATCTTATTATATCTATTTATTGATATAGAATATTTACTTATATATTCTACAATGCTTTTCAATGGAGTTTTAAAGGATTTAAGGAGTTGGGGCGCCTGCGTGGCCCAGCCAGTTGAGCATCTGCCTTCAGCTCAGGTCATGATCTCATGGTCTGTGGGTTCAAGCCCCATGTTAGGCTCTGTGTTGACAGCTCAAAGCCCAGAGCCTGCTTTGGATTCTGTGTCTCCCCCTCTCTCTGCCCCTCCCCTGCTCCCACTCTGTCTCTATCAAAAATGAATAAATGTTAAAAATTTAATGAATAAAAAAAGACATTATTTGCTCTCTTTTTTTTTCTAGAATGACTTTAACTGATGGTACAAAAGCATTGGTGAGTAAAAGTCAGTATGTCTTAGCATGAATCAAGGGGATGGCACCAAGCTACCAGTAAATTTTCTAGTATAGTACCAGTATATTTTTCACCATCAATTTCACTTAAGAATATCCTTAATAAAGCAATATAAATGGTTACCACAGTACAATGGCTGTCTCAAGCAAAAGCACTAGTGAGACTGTTTGAATTACAGGCCAAACCAGCTAATTTTTTTCATGGAAAACTATTTTTACTTAAAAGTACTAATAAAAATTATAGTATTTTTAGACTTGGGTGTTTAACACACATTTTCTTGAAAAAAAAAAAAAAAAAAAAAAAAAAAAAAAAAAAAAAAAAAAAAAAAAAAAAAACAAAGTGAGCCTACCACCTGAAGTTCAATATTGACAGCATTTGTTGCTAATGATAAAATTCACACTACCAAGTTAAAATTGGAAATTTGTAAACTTTACATGTGCTCTGGTAAGCCTGATAGCTTCTCAATAATTAGTCACTTTTCAAGGAAATGGGTAGCAATATTAACAAATGTGATTTTTTAATATTGTATGATGAATTGTGTCAATATCTGGAAAATCTGCATGATTCATTGAACCAATATTTTCCAAGTGGCCAATGCATATTTATAAAATCATAAAACACCTATTCAATGTGCAATAGATTTTCTGTAACAGAGTGTTAAAAAACTCACAGATATGTGTTCAAATTTCACACTACAACTGACCTGGAAGGAGTAACTACTTGTTGAGTTTTATAGTTGTATCCAAAAAAAAAGTCCACAATTAGCTGAAAGGCTATTAATACTCTTCCTTTTTTCAACTTTTTGTCTGCGTGAAGCTTCATTTTCTTTATACATTTCAACCAAAGCAACATATCACAATAGACTGAATGCAGAAGGTACCTGTGACTCTATACTGATATAAATAAATGACTGAATAAATACATAAATGGGAGAAAGGAGCTAAATCTCCCTTGGAGAAGAATTCCAAATAATTAATGTAGATATTCCATTCTCAAAGATGGGGAGCATAATCCCCATTCCTTGAATATGAACTATATATGGGGATTTCCTATCAAAAGTACAGCAGGGAAGGAAAGGGAGAGAAAAAAGTAATTTACAGTGGAGAAACATAACACTATGTCTGACATAACACTATGTCAGCCAGGTGATCAAGCTCAGTATCAATGAGAGAGAAAGCATGTTGATATCATGTACTCTTGGCATAATGTGGTAAAAATGGCACTTTACCATTATGGTCTTCTTCCCAAAACTCGTAACCCCAGTCTAATCATGAGAAAAATAAATAAAACAATAATTCCAGTAGAGGGGTATCCTACAAAATACTTAGATGCAAAATACTACAAAATAAAAAACAAGTCTGAGCAACTGTTATATCCAAGAGGACCCTATGGAGATATGACAAGTAAATACATGTGGGATACTGGAACAGAAAAAGACATCAGGTAACAACTAAGGAAATATGAATAAACTATGGACCTCAGTTAATAATAATGGTTCATTAATTGTAACAAATGTACCAGACAAAAATAAGATGTTAATCATCAGTAAAAGTGGATGTAGAAGATATGGGAACTTTCTGTACTATCCTCTCAATTTTTCTTTAAAAAGTAAATCTAAAAGTGTTTTAAAAAGTAAAGAATAATTTTACAAAAGTACATTAAAGAACTGACTTAGCTTTACAGATACACAATTATCGACTATCAAAATGTTGGCTACATGAGAATAAGTCCTAAATTCCTTCAAATGTAGAACCGTCACTTGCAGTGAAAAACCTTGAAAATTCCACAATTTGGCTAAATTAAGTAGTCTACATACTTTTAAACATAACATTTAACAATGGTTTTCCAAACCTACCATTTTTTTCTCCCATCTTTTGGTGTTGTTTATAAACAAAAGTCTTCAAAATTAACTTTATCAATGGACTGAAATCACTTTGATAGGAGAATATAACTGGAATCCAACTGTGGTATCTATGAAATTTGTAGTTCTCAGAGAAAACACATCATTATGGCATTCTAAGCCCAATGTTCTTGGATACTTGAATTTTCAAATGTAACTGTGGTTGAAGAAACTTTGAAAAATGACTGCTAGTCCAACCTGATGACAAGTCCATGCAATTTCATCAAGCAAGTATTTATAGTCATATCAGATCATTGACAATATCTTTTTAAAAACAAAAACCAACTCCATCTTTTGGTCCATGGATGCATGAAACATTCTGTAAAGAAAACAACAAAGATTGGTATATATTTGTAAGGAATAAAATATATATAAGCAAAAAAAGACTGTTATAACAATGTCTCTATCTTTTAAAATAGCATAAACTATTATAGAAACAAGAATACATATTAACTGGAAAAATGTGTAAAATATCAAAATTATGAAATTACAGAGAAATTAAGTATCACCCATATTTAAAATACTGTCAATTAACATAAACTATACCCATTTTTTTACTTAATTTTTATTTTATTTTATTTTTTTAATGTTTATTTATTATTGAGAGACAGAGAGACAGAGCATAAGCATGGGAGGGGCAGAGACAGGAGGAGACACAGAATCAGAAGCAGGCTCCAGGCTCTGAGCTGTCAGCACAGAGCCCGACACAGGGCTTGAACTCATAAACCACGAGATTGCGACTGGAGCCAAAGACGGACACTTAACCAACTGAGCCACCCAGGTGCCCCATTTACTTTTTTAACTTTTTAAATTTTTAATAAATACTTTATAAAAACTTTTAAAATGGGGATAATAGCACTAACTACCTCAAAGGCATGTTGTGAGGATAAGAGTTACTTAGAATGGTGCCTGGCACATACAAAGGACTCAATAAACACTAGCAATTATTATTATTCTTTCAATATATATATACTTTAAAAATAAATTTTGGATTTTAGTGTATACAATTTCTTAATAATCTTCTACTGGTAACATATCTTGCACTTTTCCCCTCATTAATATTTTTCTATAATATGACTTTTAAGTGGCTGTATAATGTACTTTGGTCAATAAGCCACATATTATAGTACATTCAAAACTTTTAGTAATTAAATTTTAATAAATTATTAATTAGTACCGTAAATAAACCTCTATATTGGGGATTTAGATTATTTCCATTTTTTCAATATGATAAATGCTGGAATATACTTATGCATATCTCTGATTATTTCCTCAAGAATACACTTAGAGATGGAACTAATAGGTCAAAAAGTAATCAATAATTCTCAGTCTCAAGATATTAATCAACATATGATAAATTCTGCTCCCACTCCCACACCAAACCCAAATGTCAGATTTTTTAAAATTAAAAAATATAGTCATGCTAAAGACAAAAAGGGAATTTTCTATGGACCAAGTCTGTGAGACCTCCCTAGGGAAAAGAAACAGATGGGAAGCTGAAGAGATAATGCCAACCACCATCATAACACAGCAAATCCTCTCAGAGAAGATGAATGCACAACTCAGAGTCATCAAATACCCAAGGAAAGCTACACCATCAAAAAGAGACTTAACAAGCCCACCGAAAGATGGGCTTAACGTCAAGAGGAAAACAGAGCATCCTGAAAATTATTTTAAAACAAATGTTATTAAGGCACCTGGGTGACTCAGTTTGTTAAGCATCATGATCTCATGGCTTGGGAGTTTGAGCCCCACTTCGGGTTCTGTGCAAACAGCTAAGAGCTTGGAGCCTGCTTCAGATTCTGTCTTGGTCTGTCTGTCTGTCTGTCTCTCTCTCTCAAAAATAAACATTAAAGGGGCACCTGGGAGGCTCAGTCAGTCAGTTGAGCGTCTGACTTCAGCTCAGGTCATGATCTTGTAGTTCTTGAGTTAGAGCCCTGCATCTGGCTCTGTGCTGACAGCTCGCTCAGAGCCTAGAGCCTAGAGCCTGGAGCCTGCTTCGGATTCTGTGTCTCCCCTCTCACTGCCTTTCCCCTGCTCACATTCTGTCTTTCACTCTCAAAAATAAACACAAAACAACTTTTTAAAAAATGTTAAAAAAATTAAATGTTATTGCATTTAACATCCTCGAAGAGCTAAAGAAGGAAATCTCATCCATGAAATAACACAATTTTGAAAAATAACCAATTAGGTATCTTGGATATAAAAATAGTTGTTGAATAAACTCAATAGATAATTGAATAACAGCATAAACTCAGATGAAGAGCCAGTAGTAAGCTGGAAGACTGAGTTGAGTAATTCACTCAGAACGCAGAGGAAATAAGAGGAATAAAACAGAGAGAATGAAGAAGAGGCAATAATGACCAAGAATTTCTCAAAACTGGAAAACATACAAGCTCACTAAGGGTCCACTGGGTACCAAGCAGGATAAAATACACACTACTAGACAAACTGTGGATAAACTTTAAAATATCAAGAATAAAGACAGTCTTAGAAGCTTCCAGAAAATCTAGATTATCTAAAAGAAACACATATCATACTGGTAATCAGACTTCTTACCAGAAATGTCAGAGGCAGTAAGTTAAGGCAAAATAAGTCTGAGCACAGAATGCCATTTCACCCAAGCTATACTTCAACAGAGAAGGTTAAAAAAAGAGACTTTTATAGACATTCAAAAAGCCAAATAGAGACTCTCTGAAAGAGATAAAGAAGTACCATAGTTGATTAAAAAAACTAACCTAGACTGAGGTATAAGAAGCAATAATGAGCAAATGACTAAAACACATTAATGCTAAAGACAGATTAAAAATGGGTTTTAATAATAAGTGAAACAAAAATGATAGAAATAGCCATAGGAAGTTGTATTCTTTTATAGAAGGGGGGTGGGAGGGGATCACTGCAAAAGTAGAGAAAGTAAAGTAGAAGCATGTCAAGTTCTTCTTCATAGGGAGAATATTAATACTAATTAAATTTGGATCTTGTTAGGAAAATATAAATTTAAGAACTATGCTGAAAATATAAAGGTAATATATATTTTTTATTTTTTTTAAATAAATTCAAGATGAGTCAAAGAATTTAAATAAAAAAATTTTTTTAATGTTTATTTACTTTTGAGAGTGTGCGCGTGTGTGCGTGCCTGTGTGTGTGTGTGTGTGTGTGTGTGTGTGT